CGTCGAAACGCTGCATACTAATCCAATGCCTGCAGCGCCACACGGCCTTGGAAGTGTCTAGATGGTAGAAGCCGGCTTACATAGTATTTCCGGTTGCAACGGCGGTTGTGGTTTCCACCACTCTTCGACGGATGCAACGGCTCGGAACTGCTGACTTCCCTACCTACCGCCTCCGGTCTGTTGAAGTATGCGCAATTCGGCGACACTCGAAACTGATATCGTGGCCCATAGATCGAGGCCCTCGGCGCCAGCTGAAGTCTTGCCGTTGCTCACTACCGTGAGCAAGGTATACGGGAAGGCTTCCGTCCCTCCGCAATCGCAACTCTTAATATAGGACGGTGCAGATCACCCTGGTCGATCAAAACCCACGTGGTGTCTTCGCGGGCGTCACGAAAGAGTGTGCTCCGGCGTTTGAGCATTCGCGCACGAAGGAAGTGCTGGTGCAGCGGCGAAGTTAAAGAGAAAAGAGAGTAAGGCAAGAGGACCACAAAGTGAAGAGATTAAGCAGTAGTGCGGGGAAGCGTATTTACGGGTCTTTATGAAACATGCCGACCTACCACTCGGATACAAATGTCCACCAGCATTGCCCACAAGATACAAGATAAGGACTGCGAACAATGTATTGCAACAGCTAATAAGAACAAAGAATATCTACAAGAATGTATGGGCTGCCAAAGGGCTGACTACTCGGACTGCATTCACGCTGAGTGTGTGCTTAGTTCTTGCCAGTTTTGGCCTTGAGCCAAGCGACGAACTGGGCGATGGTGAACTCCTCGGGGAGAACGGCGTCAGAGCCAGCGCTGCCAGTAGGCTTAGCTACGGGGGCGGCAGATGAGGTAGAAGAGGCGACAGGAGTCTCAACAGGAGCAGCGCTGGTAACCGCGGCGGAAGAGGACGCAGCCGGGGTCTTGATTGGGGCAGCAACCGAAGAAGCAGCAGCGGAGGAAGAGACGACGGCGCTCGAAGAAGCAGCAGGAGTCTCAGCGGCGGCGACGGAAGAGCTAGCGGCCGCCTTGGAAGAAGTAGCAGCAGGCGCAGCAGAAGACACGACCTTGGACATGGTAGTGGGGACAGGCTTCTCGGGAGCCGCACCCGCAGCTCCACCACCGATCTTGGTGGTAAGCTCTCCGTCCTCAATGTATACACCGCTGAAGAACCAATCCTCAGCACCGTCCTTGTCGGCCTGGCCAGGCAGCCTCAGAACACCAAGATGCCAGTCCTTACCGTCGGAAGAGGTGCTAGCATCGAAGGGTCCGGCCGTCTGCTTCAACTCATCACTGCCGGTCGAGTGCCAGAAGGCAACGGAGCCGGCATCGAAGTCGATCTCGTAGGCAACGTTGTGCCACTCGTCGGCAACGAGCTCAACGTCCCACTTGGAAACGCCGCCAACGTGCCATTGAAGGTTGGTGTTGGACGAGCCCGAGGCGCCGTACTTGAGCTCAGTGAAATGAGACTCGAAGAAAGCGATCTGGTGTTCGTTGGTGGCCGTCGGGGCGTTCTCGGCGGCAGTCTTGATGGAGAAGTGGTAGTAGACCTTGCCCTTGTTGATGGCCGCCTTGGTCTCGGGGATGAGTTCGGTGCGCAGCATGGTCTGGCCGTTCCATTTCGCGGTCTCGTCAATGGTGATCTTGACACCCTGCTTGGAAGCAGTGTCGGCGGGGTTCTTGAAGGTGGTGTCAAGGTTGACGTAGTCGGTCACGGCGCCGGAGCCGTGGATGTAGTACTGGTAGGCGCCGACGGGGTTGGAGAAGGACCACTTGGCGATGTCGGCAGAGGAGGCATAGTCGTTGAAGCGACCGTCCCAGATCATCTCTGAATGCGCATTTAGTATCTGTCGGACAACTGGAGGATATAGATAACTTACCGGCAGACGCAGCGCTGAGCATCGCGCTCATGAGAGTAGTCTTGGCAAACATCTTGAAGTTATTTGTTCGAAGGTAAAAAAACAGAGACCGGCCTGTATGTTGATGGAAAAGCGAATGTAAATGCTACGAAAGCAAGGAATGAATGACAGTAGTGAGCGAATGAACAACACGAACAAACCAGCAGGAAGAGATGCAGCAGACCATATAAGAAGGCTGCTTGACTCAACGCATACACCTGCAAATCATTACTCGGCATCTAGACGGCGTGAACGCATCGCATGTCAATATTTTGGAAACGCGCGCACCCATATTGAGTATCGCGCGAGCGGTACACGCAGGAATGAACAGTTCTGACAGGACGCCGAGGGCTTGACAGCCGTTTGGTGGTGGAAATTCCGCTATGAAACGTTCGCGTCGGCAACACCAAGCCCGAATCGGCCTTAGTTTGGCCCACACGATGCCTCACCGGGACTAGCGTGCGCGGCTTGGTGATGAAGGATTCATGAAACGCTCCCTGCTCATAGAAGCTTGTTTCATGGTGATACGCGAGGCCGAGATGGAGATTGGGTGATGCCGAGGCGGAGATTAGTTCGTTGTTTGCTTGGAGCTGCATATTAATGTCAAAATGCCCTCGAGTTGAAAATTAGTTCTGGATGGTATGAAGCTGCGACGCAAACTAAGAGAATACGTAGTGCGGGAGACAGGATGTTAACGAATGTGCCGCTCGTTCCAAAACAGTGTTGATTGCGACATGTAATCCACCAATAAGGCAAAAGAAAGGCCGTGCGTGATCCTCATGAAATCGTGTGCTGTCGTCCACCAGCTGTTTTTCCTCGCATGTGTTGTGAGTTCATGCTCGCTCGTGAGGACCGTCGTCATTACGTACGCCGTCTAGGCTGTTTCTCTGTACCTCTAGTGCAGCGTTGGCGTCGTCGCCGAAAGGGTCGTGTGCCTGCAGTTCAGCCGGTGGTTGGGGTAACTCATGCACTGGCTTCGAATCAAGCTCGTTCTGAGTCGCCTGGGCATCTAGTTCGTTGTACCATCTACGCTGACTCCTGTCGCAGTCTTGATCTCCCATTTCCGGTATGACAACATCGTTCGCAGCACGTTCCCGACGGCGTCGTAGACACCAGAAGATCATCAAGCTTCCAACGAAAGCAGCAGCAACTGCGACCCCTATGCCAATGCCTACTTGGGCACCGGTACCAAGTCCATTGGGTGATGATGGTGATGATGCGGGTGCGGTCGTTGGCGCCAATCCGTTGATGACTATCGGTGTGGATGTGACGGCTGGCGCGGGTACGCTGTACCTCGCAACCAAAGACTTGACGTACTCGCTCGGAAATGTGCCAACGTCATCTATCTGCCAGTTCACTATGACGGGATCAGCCACGGCTAGACCGGTTGCAAGCGTGGTGATGTCTGATATGACCGATGTCTCACGCACGCGTCCGCTTGGCTCATATGTGGTTGTATAATCGTATACTGGTATGACTTCTTGCCCATCAAACGCAGGCGCTGTTATGATTGCAGCATAAGCACGGAAGGGTGTCGAAAAGCTAGACAAGCAGACATCGGGGTATGCGGAGCCAAAGGTCATACCGCTGATCACTTGTCGTCAGCTAAAAGATCGAGATTGGGGTAGTGGTAGCATCATACCTTCTGCAACAGCTGGCTTGCCAGAAAGTCCGGGTTCCAGTCGGCACACTGCTTTCGTATGCGGTAACCTCCGCGATGGTCTGCCCACTGGGACAGATTCCTGGACTGTATGTGGGTGTCCCATAGAGCTGACATCCGTTGTACGATGCGTCGGAGACGATCAAACGTGTCGGATTTACAGACCAGACGGTTTCACCGGTGCTGCTTCCACCATCACAGCTTTGTGAAGGACGCAGCACCCATCTATCGACACATGACGAGGCTGGGGTGTGTATCGTCGTTAAGTCCGGTACATTCGGATGTTCCAGAGTTGTCAGTGTTCCAAAGGGAGTTACAAACACCTCACTGTGCGACCAAGACAGCTCTCTTTTGACGAGTTTGCCGACTCCTAATGTCGCTCCGAGTATGGTCGCAGTACAGAGCGCAGGTACAGTTGAAACGTAGGTAGTGTTACCTTGGATTATTGGCATGATTGCCTTTACCCATAAGCCTGGTAATAGTAGCAGTATGTAGTAGAGTTTGAGCGCGAGAAAGTCAAGGCAAAGATGGGACAGCCTCGACGCAAGAAAGGCTAGGAGACTATGGGAAAGCCTAACTTTTGAGCATCTCCACGAACAAGGCCGAAAGACGCCCCAATCTCAAGCTGACATGACGATCATCCAACCGGCCATTGCAGATGCGCGACTATATTTGGCTATCAATATCTGGGCGTGTATATCGCGATTGGCCATAAGCGCGCTGACTCGCAGCAACCTCATCAAGACGATATAACCGGTAAGATCGACTATGGCCTGTTGAGGTAACTGCATCTCTTTCTAGAAAGGATAGTGTAACGAGGAAGATGTTTTCTCCTCGCAAGGCTCATGGTTCATGCTCGAAAACGGCGACGTAGCAATTCATTGATATCATCCCTGACTCGTGGCCTCATCGGGTGCCATGCGGGCGCTGTGGTCGGCATTGCGTCTGGTATCATTTGGTGTATATCGCGATATGAAGGGAGGTCTATGGGATGTTTCCAAGGTTGTGTGAAGCCGAAGATGATGGCATGAGGCTGCCGATGGCAGAGCTAGGTGGCAGCCCACGTGGGACGCGACGTCATCGTACTTGGCGCAGATGATCCACGAATGAATCATGACAGCAACTCTGGAATGATTTCCTCGATGGAAATCACAAAACAACGAACATGTCCGCGATGGAGGTGATGATAGAGAGACGAGATCCATGAGCCTGAAGCGATCTCTAGGTACCTGGGTATCGCACGGGATCGGCGCTATTTTCGGCCAGCGGCATGCGGCTGATCCACAGGACCGGCCTAGGCACTCAGATCGAATTCCACTTTTCCAAGCGCACCCAGAATCCCATGACAGCGTTCCACATGGCTGAGACGAGGGCAACGTTTGTCACGACATCATCTTCAATAGCGGCTGCGCAAGAGGAGGATAGACGGCCACATGCAACGCCAAGAGTCGGCCTATCATGACGGCCTTGCCTGCACGCGAGAAGCGACCCCTCGGACCAACTCAGAATGGCACGTCATCCCTGCGTCGCATCGGCATGCTGGACTTGCTGGACCAAGATCCACGACCTACATTCGTTATCGATACATCGCCAGGTAGCCCGAAGTCCGGAAATGGATGCCATTTGGAGTATTGGAATTCGGCCATGGCCGCCACCGACCCTGGAGGGCTACTGCAACTACTAAGCCGAGATGGTGGTGCGTACTCTGCTAATGAAGAAGGCTATGCCCCATTTACAAAATTTCGAAGCTGGTCTTTGACACACGACACATCGGAGAAGCCGTTCCTTTATCATGGGTTCAACTGGATGAAGATCCATGTGGCTGGCCGCTGGAATGTCATAAGCGGTCTCTTGGCGACCACATGCACCGGCAGTGAGGGCTCTGGGATGACCACTCTCACTCGAAAAACTTCCAAATCGAAAGTACCAAACTTTGATTGGACGGATGAACTTCCTCCTCTGCGGTTGTCACGACATGCAGCCTGGGCGCGCAGCATTGACTGGGCCTCCACTCCTCTTGGCCCAATGTCTTCCTGGTCGTCACAGCTACGCAGTATTGCCAATCTTGTCATGCAAGATCCACGGCCAGCAGTCGTTTTCTACGGTCCGGATCTGATCATGATCTACAACGAAGCAGAGATAGAGCTGTTGGGTGGCTTCCACCCTTGCATGGGAGTCAGCGCTCGCGTCGCGCTTGCTTCAGTCTGGGACCAGTATTTTGAACCCATCATACAAACCAACCTCGCAGGAGAAACCGTGGAAAAGACGAACACCTCGATACACATGGTACGCAGCGGTTTCATGGAAGAGACGTACTTCTCCTTAAAGTTCATACCCATATTAGATGCTGAGGGTATCACAGTTGGGCATTATGAGCCCCTGGTAGAAACGGTATGTTGTAACTCTCGCACTTTCAGCGCATATTTTGGGCGCCTGCTCTTCCAGTGGCGCATCTGATGCTACGTACGGATGAGGATGGTACTCACGGAAGCATGGATTCTTGCACTAGTATGCCGTCGCAACTCTTGGGAGCCATATTTGAAGCTGCGAAGCCATTTGTGCAACCCGCTGACAGCCGTGTAGACTAGACAGGTCATTGCACAAAGACGCTCGCGCGTTCTCCTAGAACTAAGCGAAGAGATACCCAGGGCGCGCAATACGGATACTTACTGGGTTCTCGCCACTGAAGTTCTATCCCGCAACGATAAAGATATTCCGTTCGCATTATTGTATTCGGCTGAAGCAGACGGGCATGGGTCCGAATCGAGTAGGACGCGCTTTTCCGATACGAACCAACAGCACTGCAAGCTTCGTGGCTCATTCGGTCTTCCGAAAGGGTCGCCTGCAGGTCCCGATCATCTGGACTTTCAGCAAGACCATGGCTTTACTCCATACTTTCGCCAAGCTCTTACTGCCCGGAAGCCGATCATAATTCGGTTCGATCAAGATCCTGTGGCGGCAGCGTTGGTCAAGGACGTTGAGTGGCAGGGCTTCGGTGATCCCTGCCGAGCGGCAGCCATCTGCCCTCTAAACCCGACTTCTTCAAAAGACAATATCCTTGGCTTCATGGTCATTGGGCTTAATCCCCGTCGGCCATTTGACGAAGATTATCTCCAGTTCATACTGGTCGCCAGTCGCCTGCTTTCTACGTGCTTAACATCAATTCTACTCCATGAAGAGGACATTGGGCGTCGAGAACGGACTATCGCAAACGCGGAAGCAATGAAATCGCAACTGAAGGAACAGTTGACTCTGTCTCAAGCGGAGTCTGAGCGCAATTTCTCCAAGTTCAAACGCTTCGCAGAGCGTGCCGATATTGGCATCTTTCTCATAGGAATGGACGGGGTCTATTCGTATAGGAACGAAGCATGGTTTGAGATGCTTGGTCCAGTGGATCCTGCAACCGATCTCGCTGACGCGTGGAGTAAGCTTATCGACGATGACTTCGTCGAAATGGGACAAGCAAAGTTTGAGGAACTTGTCGAGACCAAACAGCACCAGTAAGTGATAGGTACGTCATGACGTACGACAAAGCTTACTATGACCAGATCATTCGAGTTGCGTCTCAAGAAGAGGTGGAATGCGCCTACCCAGCATATGGATGATACATTCCCCGAACAGGAGCCAATGTGGGTCATCACATCCATCTTCCCTGAGCTCGATGAAAATGGGGAAGTAGTAGAGATCATCGGTTGCTGTACCGACATCAGGTACGTCATTCTCTCATCTCGCTATGCTTAACTAAAGGCTTTGAACAGTCAGCAGAAATGGGGAGAGAAACTTCAGGCTACCCAGGCGACGAGGGCCCGAGAATCTAAGCGCAGTCTGGAAAACTTCATCGACACGACATCTCACGAGATGCGAAATCCTCTGTCCGCGATCGTTCAGTGTGCAGATAGTATTATCTCGGCTCACAAGAACTTCAGCAAGTCGACGGATTATCAGAAGGTCTATCAGACTATATTGGAGCATACCGTTGACGCTGCCGAAACCATTGTCCAGTGCTCGAAGCACATGAAGACTATTGTGGACGACGTGCTTACCATGTCTAAGCTGGACTCCGGTTTGTTTGTAATGACCCCAGTCGATGTCAAATTCGACTCAATCGCGAGAGACGCAGTGAAAATGTTCGATGGTGAAGCCAAGTCAGCTGGCGTGGATTTGCGATTCCAGCTCGAAGAGTCATGCAAAAAGATCGCGGTTGATCTCGTTTCGCTAGACCCTACAAGGGTCTTACAGATACTTATCGTAAGTACGTGAGACATATTGAGGTGCTTTGGCTGACAAGTAAGAACCTTATCACCAATGCGATCAAATTCACTCGATTAGAAGAGATACGCGAGATCAGGGTCAGTCTGGGCGTCTCCCTGAAGCAGCCGACCCACAGTTTCAGCGTGCCATTCTCCCGTAGCTCCGAAACATCAGAAGCAGCGACTCTACAAGCAGATTGGGAGAAGGGCGAGATAGTAAGTCGCTGTTGAAGACGATGTCTCAGTTTTTCCACTAACGCAAAAAGGTCTACATCATCTTCTCCGTGCAGGACACGGGTCGTGGCTTGAGCGACGAAGAACATCAGCTCCTTTTCGCACGCTTTTCGCAAGCGTCTCCGCGCACACATATCGACTATGGTGATTATGAACCTCGAAGGCAATTGAACGAGTTGCTGACGTATTTTAGGTGGCTCCGGTCTGGGTCTCTTCATCTCACGAAAGCTTACTGAGATGCACGGCGGCGCTATCGGCTTCGCATCTAAAGCCGGCGTCGGAAGCACATTTTCCTTCTACGTGAAGAGTCGTAGAAGCACTATTCGCCCCAACTTTAACCGGTCGGAAAGCGACGCGGCCGTTAGCTTGAGCATACGTGCGCAAAAAACGCTGCTTTCAAGTCGATCGCGCAACGAATCGGACGAACCACCCCAAGCCTCCGCCCCTGCGAACGACATACCCAACAAAGACCTACACGTCCTCATCGTCGAAGACAACCTCGTAAACCAGCGCGTCCTGGCCAAGCAGCTACGGAACACGGGTATGCAGGTCGCAGTCGCGAATCATGGTGGAGAAGCTCTTGACTATCTGCGCACAACAAAGTACTGCATCTCCGATGGCTCTGGAAAGCCACTCGCACTCATCCTAATGGACTGGGAGATGCCTGTCATGGATGGTTTGACATGCGTTAGGAATATCAGAGAGCTTCAGAAAGAAGGCGTTGTTAGAGCGCACGTGCCGGTCATCGCGGTGACAGCTAATGTGAGGAGCGAGCAGGTAGAGGTGGCGTTGAAGGCGGGAATGGACGATGTGATAAGCAAACCGTTCAGGATACCGGAGCTATGTGCCTGTATACAGAAGACGTTAAGGAATACGGCTAGGTCGTAGTCGAAGCGATTTGAAATAGAAATTACTACTCCCAAAGGTCGTTTGAAGCTAACGAGCGATCAGGCCAGCATGTCGCCAAAGGTCGCACCGCCATCGCGTATTCGACGCAACTTCGAATTGATGGCATGCTTTTCATCTAGTTTTGCAAGGTGTGAAAGAATCGGTGAGGCGATACTCAATGTTTCCAACGGAAAGGCTATCCGACGGGAACGGCAAACATCATGTCTTGCTAGCGCCCGCGACACTTGCAACTCGCCCTCCGCATCACCACTCCGCAAATGTACTTCGAGTCTGTGCATTCACATGCTCAGCACAACAACAAAAGTCTCGCCATCAATCGCGAATCCACGTGCGCCATCGCGAACATCCCAGCTCACGCAACCAAGCTTCGTTGGGCCGCACGCCCTACCAGGACAGGGCGCGGCTGAACCAACGACCAATCCCTCTCTTTCTTCCAGGCACGACGAAACATGCAATTTTGCGCAAATAGCAACTATGACACACGAAATGGCCTTTAGAGGTATCTCGTGTGTCAAAGTCAAGAACGTGATGGTTGTCGCAGTGGGACCCTGCGGTATAAAAAGTCTGTTGAGGCTGAGCCGACGCCAGCCGACAACGCCTCTCACCACGTTCTCCTGAGAGCCTCGCGGGAGCTAAGCGGTTAACGGAGATCATGCCATGTGCATTAGCTATTTTCAGGCTGATTTCGAACGGAACAGGTTTAGTCAGGGCAGATGCGAAGGGTATTATGATGACGTCTTACGGTGTGTGTCCTGTGGCTTCTAGACACTCGGTGGTAACCAGCGCGAGGCGATGCTACCTTGCTAGACCCACATGTGCGACCTTTGCGAAAAATCAGTCACGGTGCACGTGGAGTGTGTGTGTCCAAGATCTCACGATCGTTTGGCTGGTGGTGGGAAAGGGTGGAAAATTTCTTCGTGGTGCCATGGGGTATATAAGGGGTGGGGAGGTGGGTTGGGTGGAGGAGTAGCAGCATCAAGCCATCAAGTCTACTACTACACTTCAAATTTCAACTTCACGACCACCAAAACACCCATAAATTTTCGGTGTCTTCAAACCAAACAGCCAACCACCAAAATGAACAACTTCGACTGCCACCCGCGCGTTCTCTCGCTCTCCTCCGCCTCAACTCCATCTTCTTCCATCCCCACAACTCCCTTCTCGCAATCTCGCCGCCAATCTCACGAGTCAGCACACGACGCGCATCACTTCGTCAACCAAGAAGAGAAGACGCAGCACAAGCTCAACCTCAGCATCAAGAAGATGTGGGAGGGTGTCAAGAGGCACGCTGTTGAGCACCACAAGAGCGTCAACGCTGCATACATGGCTAGCTACGGATGTGGTACTGCGACTGCAGTGAACACTACTGGCGGGAAGGCTTTGTAGATGGGGAGGAGTATAAGGAAGAAGGGACCAGGTATGGACGAAGGCTGAGCAAGAGGAAGAGGAGGATACAAACGATGATACGACGACGACTAAAAGTGGATTTCGAGCGACAAAAGTGGATTTCTGGTGCATTATACCCCGACGAACGATTTGTGGCGCCGAGGAAGAGCTGGCAGTGGCTTGAATACTGTTGTAATATCTAATAACATATGTGAGGGCTTTGTTCAGTGTTGCGTTGCTCTTGCCAATGCCTGTGTGATAGCTGAAGCGATTGAAGCCAAGTGTAAACTCTGCTGATCATGTACAAACGCCTACGCACTGCCATGATATCACGAAGGAGATGGTATATGAGATCGACTCAGTACTCTTCGTCCGACTCTTCTTCGACGTCCGTTTCTTCCTCTTCCACTTCAATACTCTCCCCTTCAGTTTTGTCTCCGTCCTCGTTCATGATAACGCCCAGTTCTCTTCGCCCCGCCGCGTACAGTGCCTCATCCTCCTCTTTCAACTCCTTCGCAGTTCTGCGCATTGTCGGAATGAGAACGTCGATGACGAAGTCCTGGAGCTGTCCACCGAAAGAGTCGTATTGAGAGATGAGGTCGGGTACAAGCTCTTCTAGTCGTGCGCGCAGATGTGCGTCCTCCTTGGTTATGCGTCGTAGTTCCTTTGGAGAATACCGAGGGTATGGTTGCTCGGTCTGATTAGGATCTTCGTCACGGCAAGTGCGGACGGTGTCGCAGCATGTATGTCTTATCTCCAAGTATGAGAAGACAAACAGGCGGATGTATCCAGAAACGAGTCGTGAATGACCGAGGGAATCTGCCACCTTATCAACCCATAAGGTGACTTCGAGTAGCATCTGCGAATTGTCATGTCTTTGTAAACGGCGACAGTTCCGAGCTAGAATCGCGTTATCGAACGATTCGCAGGAAGTGTAAAAGTTTCCATGTCCATAATACTTATACCACCGCCCAAACAGCTCATTCCAAAAACATGACAGAAAGTCGCACCCGGCACCGCTACATCCACACTCGCAACCATCAATTACTTCGTTTTTCACTAAAAACTCAAATCCTTCATAAGCCCAACACGTCTCTATAGCAGGGGATTCGTTGGACCTGGCTATCGTCCGTCTACACTGCAATTGTGCAGCAGACTGCCAAGCCAAACAATGTAGAACAGTGGTGTCCGTCCCCGGCCAAGTTTCTTTGAGGTCGGCTCCTTTCGAAAGGAACCATCTGACTATCAGATCACGCTGAGTCAAACATCCTGACCCCGGTTCAAGGATGCTCTGCCTTGCAAGATACATCAGAGGCGAGCAGGCTCTCCCCCTGCTGCACTCGAACTTTTCTTGACTGATGTCACAAAAGCCAACCTTTTCCAGACTTTCGAGCATCTCAAGGTTCGGTGCCATCCATCTGCGTCGTGAATTGTAGACACTTCCTTGTCGTGGCCAATAATGTTCGGATATCGCGACCCCTTCGCTCACTAAAGCAGTGAGCATGCATTCGACATGTGCATCTGGTAAGCTTTTTCGAGCGCCTTCGCAACAATATTCGACTCCATGCTTCTCCATCAGTAGTCTGATCTCACGTCTTTCGTTGGCAAGATGGGTGTGAAGAAGGCAAACTGTGTCCATGCTAAACGTTAGGTCCGCGTAATATAGTAGGTCTTCAACATGACCAATGGCGATGAGCTGTGGGCCATTGAATCTAGTCCTTTGCGATAACCAGAACTGCATCATGTCCGGTCGATTCGTGGAAGCTGAGAGCATGATCAGAGAATACGAGAAGCGCCACCTGTTTTCGCTTTCATCATCCAGGTATGTCAGCAAGTGGGCATCGACCATAGCTCTGCAGCCATGTGTCCAGCCAGTCATGGTAGCCATTGTCAAAGCGTAGACAACCATATCAAAGTCGAGGGCCTGTAAGTTTCTGGGCTGATCTAAGATGCTCCGAAGTTGATGGTCGGATTTTGAGACTATCGCCTCAAGTAATTCGCTGTTGTCCAACAGTGGGCTGGCAAATTTTTCGAAGGGGATCATAGGCGATGCCAGTGCTCCCTCCGAATATCTCATCGTTATTGTATTGAACGCATGCCGAGTGATCTTCAAGTCTCGTTCGAAGAGTGACTTCAAGAGGGCCGCGTGGAAGTTCTTGGTCTGCGCAGGGGTACGACAACGTATGAGAATGTCTATGCAAGTACTGTCCACGCTTAGCAATGTCGTACGTCGACATGATACGACAGCAGAATGCAGTGATGATTAGGCTCACTTAGAACGAAGGTCCATAGTGACTTACAATCCACGCCAGTCTATTTCGCTAGCTTCGCTTTTCGTGAGTGGAAGAAGGGTGTCGATCAGGTAGCCAATGTTTTCAAAACTGTCGATCCGGCGAACGGTTGGAATGTAAGCGACAAAACAGCCACATAATACCTACGATGTGGTGAGATTTACTTGCTAATCAGTTGGGGATATGATACGTGCATGTAGAATCGTCCTTCCATCTGCTAGTCGATCATGGGGTGATGCTTGTCCAAGCTGAAACATGGTGAAGAGTTTATCAACCTCGCCAGCCAATGTCTCCTGCGACATTTTGATGCTAGATCGAACAAGAGCTGGGATAAATTCGAAAGCAGGAGACCACTTAACGATGCGATGACACTGCAGACTCTGCGTGAATCCAGCGCTGTTGAGCCTGGTAAATGAAAGCGAAATCCTCTTCTTCAGTACCAGGCTGCAGAGGGTAGCCTTGAACTGTAGATCGGTTGTTTTGTCCGGCAGTGAGTAACGAAGACACTGAGAGTCATGAACAAAGCTTTGGGTGTATGTGAGAGTTAGAATCTTTGATATATATCCAAGTGCAGAGGTGTGTGGTCGGCATGTACATGGAATTGCGTCGGATCGTCGTTGTAACTTTCGCGTTTTTCGCTGAACGCTCCTAAGGCTCATCACATCGCCGTCCAGTGTCGTGCTTTTCGCTGATACAGCTTCCAAAAGCTGTTTTTGGAAGTTCCGAAAATCGGCGTGAAGACTTTGAAGATTGTGCGACGTGGCCGAGAATCCCGATTCGAGCATGTGTGATTGTCCAGCGAGCTGAACACTTGTCGCATCAAATACATCGCGTTGCAGCTGTAGATTCGAGAAGTGATGTATGCTTTGGTCCACGGATAGCTGGGTGTAGTGCAACCGAGCATTCTCAGAAGCCAGCCGCTGTTGGTCGATGACAAGGGCGAGTAGCGCAGTCTGTAAACTTTGCTGTATCGTGTTGAGAACATCTTTCCAGTATTTGATGTCAGCTTCTATGAACGGAAAGACTAGCCGCTTCGTCAATCTCTTCAAGCTCGACTTGATCCCGCCGTCCGCTGCTTGGTCGTCTGGTTTGAGCTTCTTCCGGATGGTCGCGATGGCTTCTGCACACGACACGATGCCGGTGCGTGTTGCTGACACCGACTGGGATGGATCCACTTTTCCGATAACGGATTCAAGTTGTTCGAGAAGGTTTGCGAGTTCCTCCGTTTCCGCGGCGATTTGTTCAGCCTTGTTCTTCGCTTCTTTGACGCCGCTGAGGTACCATTCCAGGCCTTTGCAGACTTGTATGGCGAGGGAAACGACACCGACGGCGCTGCCGGTGATGGAAAATGGGTCTGCCATCGCAGACCTTGGTGCGCAGAACGTGGATCGAAGGAGAGAGAAAGCAAAGCACACGAGAAGAGCGGGGCATGAGGAGAGGCTGAGGCCGAGGCGCAGCGCGTGCATGCCAGGCTGGCAGTGGGCAACCACTCACAACGATCTCACACTCATCGGTGGAGGACACATATGCAGCCACCCTATCATATGGTATGTCCCGCGGCGATGTACTGCATGGACTGATCCGCCTATCAAAACAAAATGTGTGTATTCCTGTATGCCCTATGTGCCCATGTCAACGAGAAAGAAAAGAGGCTTAATGCTGCGCAGCCAAAGGCCTATGCTCTTTATTCAGACGCGGTGATTCTTCATCGTCGTCATCTGAGTCGAGCCCTTCCAATTCAAACTCCTCAGCGTCTCTCACTCTACGATCGACCCTTGTGTATCCATTGATGTGTCCGTTCGCGTGACCGTTCGTGAGGGGCGCTTCGGCATCGGCTTTGTCGTCTTGTTCCCAAGTGTATACGGCGTAGAGGTGGATGAGCATGTTGACGACTAGACACGAATTAGCTTGAGATAGTGGTGAGCTATATGGGGAGACTCACAAAGGAACAGCAAGAAAGCGATGCTGTAGAGGATCAGCACGTAAGACACGTGCGTGACGTTCGCGTCGGATAGCAGCTTCATCTGCTCTTCGGTGGCGCCCATGAACATGAATCCACCAGCCATGAGCAGGAACGGCGTCAGGTACTGGAAGCTGTTCGGGTCCGAGCCGTCGGTTGCGACAGAAGCGCGGTCCTTGAGCACGAATGAGATCTCGATGATACGCGCGGCACCTGCAGCCATGAGGGTGTAGCCGAATATGGTGTGGATCATAGTCGATATTGGCAGATGTTGTGGGTGCGCAGACATGGCCCATCCGGTCATCAAGATGATGATACCGGGGATAAGGTTGCGCTTCGGCTGTCCATTGCGCTTTCGGCTGAGCCAGACACCGACCAGTCCGGCAGCCCACCAAACGATGCCCATAGATGTGTGCTGAAGGTCGTTGTGCACCCATGGTCCTCCCCATCGGTGTTCGGTAAAGGTGTTGACGCAACCCCAGGCGGCGATTACGAGCGAATCGAAGAACTCCTGGCTTCTTCCGGTCCTCCGCAGCCACATCTGTCCGACTAGAAGTAGAATCAGGAGAATAATGCCGTATGCGATGAAGGCGCTGCCCATGATGAAATGCGCCAGACATTGTCCAGTGTGATCCGCTCTGCAGAAGCCGAGTGCGGTAATTCCTCCAAAGAGGAACTGCACCCAGGTGACCACTGGCATAGCCTTTCCAACAACACCGTGCGCCTTCACTACCACGCGCCGTATCTTCCCATTGATGCCCTTCTCCAGGTGTAGCTTCAGGTAGATACCCATAGCAACTTGGGATACCAACATGAGCATGATGACAGGGATGAACTGGCTGTGGATGTTATCGGTGAACTGCCTGCCCTTGTGTCTATGGCCGAGGAAGTATCCGATGATTGCGAGGACGGTTCCGAGAGATTGTACCGGGACGTGCCATTTGGATCGTATTATCTAGCCTTGCTGTCAGCTCATGCTCTTCAGTCTCAATATGAAGTAGCTTACTCCTAATACCATACCCGTGGGGAAGATGATGCCCCATGCCACCGTTTGGACCAAGATGTGCGTCCATAGTATTGAGTCCTACATCGACCATCAGTCTTGCTGCCTCAACCAGGGTGGTCGAAGTGTCAACCCACTATTGGGTCAGGTGATATGGCATCACCATCTGGGATCGCATCCATATCGTGGTCGTGAGCTGTGACTGCTGCGGTGTATAGCAGCGCCGCAAGGGCCGCTCTTGTAGGGAGGCCCATTTCGCCGTGGGTATTTCTGAATAAGATTCGGGTCGCTGCAGCTGGCGCCACGAGCAGGTGATTATCGTGGAATCTGCAGCGTTGAGAGTTTCACAATAGCATCAGACGCGTGCTATGGTGGGACCGAATGGGGAGGCGAGTGTGTTCGTTGTTTCCCTTGCAGGCGTTGTCGCAATCTCGTGCTTACGTGAACAGAAGGCGCCACCGTCATTGGCTTCCGCCACACTCCGACCGGGCGATCAACACCATCATCTCCGACACCATCGTCGCCCTGCAGCTTCAGCTTCGCCATTCACGACATGACTTTCGAGAAGGGCGTCACCGAAATCGCGGACTCGGATGATGATCCGATGACGTCGTCACCTGGTGTTGTTCCGGATGAAGCGGGCGACAAGCATTGCGCAGTGTCCAATGTCCCGTACCAAGAGCGACAGGACGCGTCGCGCGAGGCAGATGGCCTCCAACAAGCATTCGCCGAACGCGATGCCAGCACAACTGAAGTCTTGGGCGCCGATTCCACCAATTCTCCAGTTGATGTCGACGCGTCGAGAATTGATCAGACTAACATGATGCCCAATGAGACCACTGCAGCGCAAAACGAGGAAGGAGCGACTGTCGAAGGTGGCAGCCACGGCCGGGGACTCCACACACAAATACATCCACAAAAGCCAGTATCGACGACCAGAGACATGCCAAATGGGCCTCAAGTGATGGTCGTTCCAACTGAAAACGGGGATCCAGTTGCCAAGGATGTCGAATCTGACCCCTCAGCCCGCGGTGACGAACAGCAGCCACCTGTAAGCCATGCCAGTCCTTCTTCTGCCGAACAGGAAGTAGCTGAGGCTATTCAACCCACAATGGCGGATGCGACGTTGAAGGTACCAGGTTCTGCTGCCCTCGCTCCATCAGAGTTCAGCGTCGATTCTGAGTTCCCAAACGGGTCAACATGTCAATCGCAAAGTACTGTCACACTCGCCAGTCTGCCTCGTGTGTCGAAAGATGATTCGGGTCGAGCTGTAAAGCATCATCCGGTAGATGGACACACGAGCGACAACGTAGTCTGTCCTAGATCATTACTTTGTAAGTTCACGCGCTCACATACGTTAGGACCGATCTCGGCCGACCTCAACAGCTGCCAGCATGCAGTCGAATACGACAAGGATTGCATTAGGCTCGTCAGGCGACGCAGGTCCTGCTGCGACCATGCCGGACGACTACACCAGCTCTACGCTCCATTGGGCTCAAGACACTGAAGACACGCCTCCTAATGCGCGAATGCACATCAACACTAGCGAAGCTGCCATGATCGAAAACGGATCTAGCTATGAGATCGGCCAGGAACAAACTTCCCGAAGCACATCCGCGGACCAGCAACTATCCGCAGAAGAAGTGGCATTGCCGAAAGAGAGCGCAGGCTCAAGTTTTGGTGCTAGTTCACCAATTGCTAAACTATCTACCCATGCCCAACCACACGCTGACGCCCAACACTTGTCATCGCCCATCCCAATGCCTCCATCGAGAACACCACAGGAAGTCACTCTTGATAATCTGAGAGCCCAAAAAGCTGCACTCTTGGCCTCTCTCAGTGCCCTTCCAGCGATCCAAGTGCTGATGGAAGAGAACGCCTTTTCAGATGCCGAATCAGGCGATGCTAGCGATGAACCTACTGAGACCGATGTCATGGCAGCCGCAAACAAAATCGTGAAAGAGCACATCAAATTACTACACGAATACAACGAGCTGAAAGATGTGGGTCAGGGGCTGATGGGCCTTATTGCGGATCAGCGGGGCGTACGGATAGTCGAAGTTCAAGAGGAGTTCGGCATCGATGCGCAGGACTGATCGCAAGTTTACCAGTGTACTGCGAACGGCAACGGGAGCGAGGAAGCGATAGACGACGGCGTGAACTAGGTGCGACAGGCGCAGAACAAACACGGCATCTGAGTGTCAAATAAACCTTATACTGTATGTACTTCCTCTTTCGCTCTATATGCAATCTGCCGTTCTCAGGCTACACACCACTGTCCCGTGCCTAGTTCAACTGCCCGCTGATCCGCCACGCCAGGCTCGACGCTCCAGCTCGCCGACTTTGCCAATACTAGCTGATGCCTGTCTCCATCAACAGACTTGGTGGCGATCCTTGGCCTCGACACATCTTCCGACGGACCCCAAGTACAGGTGGACGCGATGAGATCAATTGCGCAATACGAGCGCATCCTCGGTACATCTAAGATGCGGCTCATCCTCCAGATCTGGTCCGGGCCTCTCGAAGCCCGCTCTCTGCGGGTAGCGACAGACTTTGCGCACGGACCGCGAGCCGTGTGGCAGGGACGCGTTTGGCCAGATTGCCGGAAACCGGAGAAGCACCGATTGGAAAGGAAGAATTCCAGAAGACTGGATCTCAAGAGACAACGCCACATAGGTTTTCTTTTGCGACCTGCAGTGCGTGGATGTATTTTCACAAGAGTTGGGTTGCAGATTATGGTCAGCTGAGCCAGAATCCTCATACGATGTTCCATGACTCTGCACATTGCCATTCGGTCAATGTCGGCCACCAACACCTCAGCATCACCTTGGACGGGAATAATTGCAACCATCGTCTTGAATAATTGCGGGTCTTCCTCGGTCATACTCACACATGTAATCAGGGGAAGCGACGGAAGCTACGATCGTACCCCGAATACACCAGCAGAGTCGACCCCATGTATCGATGTGGTCTCATGCGGGTATCAGCATTGTACGTGTACCAACTCCGTCTCAACCACCGGTGAATATCAAATGCAGACCTTGAGCCGCAGCGCCCAGCTTTCTGCAGTGATTGCAGGGAAGTGGGAGTGCAGGGGCGCTGTCCATCCGTCTGAGAGGTCGACTGACGAAGTGGCGGTGCAGATTCTGCGTCTTGGTGTGGAGTCAGATGTCGCCCATTCATGCATTCGCGTTGACGAGTTCCATGAGCGTTGAAGATCCGCGGCCCCACGCAGGAAGGCAACCTTGGGAAAATCTTGAGTATCCTAGCCCTCGGAGGTATTATCGCGACATCTATGTTTATCATCACTTACATGTCATGAAGTCGGCGACCGACCACTACCCGATGAGAATAGTAATCATCTTCAAGACGAACAAGAGCCGATATTCCTGCTACGTTCTACGATACACGTCAGCCGTGTAATTTAAGGTTTAAGATGACACTTACTTTCGGGTAGGAGACAGATCTAACTTACATGTGGCGCTCTGAACGTCGGAGGCTAGAATGCGCAGTGTCCCGCTGGTTGATACCAAGCTAGGAAGCCGGTCCACTCCGTAATGCACGTCTACTCGCAAACGCAAGCGAGGGTCCTTCGGAACACTTGGAATTACTAGCGGGTAACATCTCCATGTGGTGATTGGCAGCTAGAGCATGGTAGGACAGCCCAAGCCGCTTGCTAAGTTGACAGCTCCACGGTGCATGCCGTCCCGTCCACTAATGCCATCCTATTGCTAGTCAGTCACCCATGATGAACTTATCGGTAGTTTGCAACGTGCTTTCTGGAGCGGGCGTGCCTCCTTTCCGGGATCAGTGGGATATATGGGTGTTTTGGAGACCCTGAGCCCTTCTACCCTAGGATCTTTCTGACCGACTTCTCCTTCCCCAGCCTCCGCGTTACTTACACCACACAATGTCGGCTACCGTCCAGGACTTCCAGCTTGCTGCTCTGGCTGCCGGCTTCACGATTGGGTTCGGGTTCTTGACAGTATGGGAGGCCGTCAAGCAGACACGGCGAAATCACAGCCCCCTTCGATCAGCCTACATCTACATGATATGGGGTGAAATTCTGGTCAATGTCATCATTGGTATCATTGGATGGCTGTTCTTGAACGATGTACTTGGGCCGACGTTAGTTTCCTGCCCTACTACGCACTATGAGGCCTCATACTGACAAGAAACGCAGTGTTCCCGTCCTTTTCTTCATCCTGTTTTTCTGGGTGTGGGAGATCCAACTACTCATGCAAATCATCATCAACCGCATTGCCCTCATCGCAGAACACCGAAGTACCATCCGCAACCTCAAATGGGGAACAGTAGTCCTCATCACCAGCATCAACATCGCCGTCTTCTGTATCTGGATTCCATCGCACACCGTCCCACCAATCAGCGAAACCTTCGTCAAGATCAACAACGTCTGGGACAAGATCAGCAAGGTTCTGATCCTCATCGTCGACGCAGGCCTGAACTGGTACTTCCTGCGCACCGTCAAGATCAGGCTTGTCGAACAACACGGCCTAACTAAATATGCGCCACTCGTCGGCTTCAACGGTAAACTAATGGTTGTCTCCATCGCCATGGACGCCCTCCTCATCGGTCTTATGTTCCTCGAGAACCAAGTCGTATACGTGCAATTCCACCCCGTCGTCTACATGGTCAAGCTCAACATCGAAATGTCCATGGCTTCCCTCGTCGTCCGCCTCGCGCAAGGCAAACCCCAAAACGATATGAACCCCGAAGAGTTCCACAGCTCCTCCGGCCCGGACTCGCACTCGCGCTCTAACGCACGCTCGCACCAACCGCACTCGGTTCAGCTGACCAACCGATCGAAACGCAACACGACAAACATGCGCAGCGCGGGCCTGAGCAAGATCGATAGCGATGAGAGTTTGGAGCTGGGTGGCATCCAGTGTACGACGGATCTACACATCACACATGAGGATAGGAAAGATTATGTTGACAGGAAGGATTTCATAGAGGGCAGCTCAAGGAGTAGCAATGATGCGCCGGCGCCGAGTGTGTTTGGGGATGAGACGCCCTTAAAGCAAGGGGCGAGGGTACGAGAGAGGTCGATGTGAAGAGTTCTTTCCTTTGTTTTGTTGAGCGGCTGTAATTAATGATACCCGTGGATATGTAATGACAGTTGGTAACTCCAAGGCAGTCTATATACAGCAAGTGACGGGGCTCATTTTCAGCTTGTAATAACCAGCCTACTCACCAACAAGTCGGACGTCTAGCCCTCTCATCCAATGCAGGTACCAGTTCGAGCTCTTTTCTCCACACCGGCGGCTTTCTGGCCCGTGCTCAGCTCCTCAGCGCGCGCGCTCCGTCTTCACTCTCACTTCAGCTCAGACACAACAACAGGACTGCCGCCTATTCTTCCGCCTCGCTTATCTCGCTCCCGGGAGTTGATCCGGAGGCCGAGCGCACGTATATCAATATCGCTCCACCTCCGCAATCCAACGCTTCTACTCCCCACCCGTTCGCAGATAGATCCTACCACAACGACTGCCACCACTACCACTACCTCCACGCGACGCATCTAGCTACCATGGTAAGGCTTCTCCTGCGTTTCTTTTGCTTTTCCCGTCATTTCCACTGTCAATCGTTTCTTTCCTTGTGTCTTAACTCATTTCCACCGTCTATCTTTCTTGTTTCTTTTGTCGCCAGCTATTTACATCGCTATATATACTGTTCACACTTACTATTCTACGCACCCCCAGTCCTTTCTACTGTCATTTCCATCGTCTAACCCTTACTTAGGTACTTAGTCACTCTCTTTCAGACACTGGCGTCACCTACCGCGACAGCAGCTTGCTTTCGACTTCGCCATCCTCGACCGCGATCGGTTTCGTCGTCGTTCGTTGTAGGTATCATCGCGACTCCAAAGAAGGGCCGTATAAGGGGTGAATATCGGATTGAGCTTGAGGTCGTGGTCTCGGCCTAAGCCTGGGTCTGGTGTATTGCTTTCGATAAAAGGTATCGTCGCGCATACGGTCAAGTCTTGTCGGACTACAATTAGTCACATATACTATACAATTGAACCTCATCTGCATCTAAGCCCGATCTTTTCATGTGTTCTCCTTCATCGTGATGTTGCTGGTCGCCTAATCCTCCACATGACGTCAGTCCCGCCTCCGCACGCGGCGCGACTATCCTCGACGCGTCGGGAATCACTCTCGCCACACTGTCATGTCTTCCTCATCGAACACTGCTTTCAAAACGCTTATATCGCGTTGCGACAATACTAGTCTCTATGAGTACACGTCGCGCTTCATTCCAGAGCTGGCTCTCCTAGGCTACACAGATGTAGCAGCGCGCCTGGTAGGCAGACTCAACAACTATGACTTCTACCACGACCGACTCGGAAGCCTTCGGCCACTTTGGTTCCTTTGGGTGCTGCGTGCGAAGGAAGACGGTGCACCATGGCCTGATGGAGAAGAAGATAAGGTGCGCCGAGCTGTGAGGGATAGACGGGCCAAGATCAGCAGCGATGATGCTCGAACGAGGAACGACGAAATGATAACACCAGAGGACTTACAGGAAGAGCTGCAACTTATCGCGAAGGAGTTCGCGTTGAAATGGTATAAGCCGACTGTGATGCCGGGGTCAGGACCTGCCGAGGCACTCCACGTCCATGAGCTTGATCGTTCACCCACTACTTCTCAGATGCTTGATAGTGCGAGAGACGCCATCCATAGTTTGGAGACTGCAAGTCCGGCACCTACGACCCGAGACGTGAGAAGCGGGCTGGTGCGCATACTGGACCTGGTCTTATCGGCTGAAGCAAACCATGAACAGCCCGGGATGGGCGAAACACTACGTCAGTCGGGCACCCCGCCCTCCCACGAGTTACTAAGTTGGCTGGCGCATAGCTTTGGGGAACGTTCGTACGAGACTCAGCCAGCAATGGAGTCCAGGCAGGCATGGAAGCTATATAAAAGCGGAGCGCTGAAACAGCACCTCAACATTGATGAAGCAGCGCTCGCAACCTTTGCAAAGGACTTCGAAGACGCTTTGACCGATCGACTCACGAACGGTCGAACTAGAACGAGAGCAGATATTCCCATTCATGAACTCTTGAAAGCGGCAGAATACAATACAAAATACAATGCCGAAGCCAAAGAAGTCAATCCCAAGCCCGCCGAAACCTCGCTCTTTCACTCTCCAGCCACCGACTCGCAGATTGAAGAAGCCGAAACACGGCTCAACACCACCTTGCCAGCCGACTACAAGACCTTCCTCAACATCAGCAACGGTTTTGATTCTCCTTGTGGGCACCCACTAGGCGACCTCCAAACACCGCTCCATCCCGTCGATAAACTGCGCTGGCTCAACCCCGCAGAAGAAGACTACTTCACAGATCTCACGCTCGACCTACCCACTCGATGGGATAAATGGCCTTTCGCACCCCCTCCAACTAAGAAGGCCTATGCTTGCGACGAAGAGACAGAGCATTTCCTTATCGGTCGCGCATTAGAAATCGGTACGCAGGAGATTGATAATGCGTGGCTTCTCCCGCCTTCTTCCATTACGCCGATAAAGAAGGCTGTGAGGAAGATGCTGGACGATAAGACTCTGGGCGAACGCGAAAAGAACAGTGTAAGAGTTGCAATAAGGGATTTCGCGGGTAGCGAAGAGGAATGGGAGCAGATGGAGTGGGCGTGTGTTACTTGGGCTAGTGGAGGGGTGGCGGCTATGTATGTTTATCCGGGGTTTAGGGCGTGGCTTGAGGATGTTGTTGAGAAGGGGAGGGTTGGGTTGGATGGTGAGGAGGAGGAAGAGCAAGAAAATATGTTGAGGCGTGGGATGTGGCTGGGGAGAGTGTTTCAGAATGGAGAGAGCGGGGATCAATTGGACGCGGATAGAGACGGAGAGGAACTGCCAGAGTGGCTGAAAAACGCGATTATAGCGGCGACACCGACAAAAAGTTATTGATCAGGAGCGGATGGAGCCAATGACTGCGTATACTGCGTTGTGAAGATGCAGTTCGGGTCGGGCGCTTTGAACACCATTGGTTTCTGGACCCTTTGATTCGAGACGGATGCTCTTGATTAACTGTCCGTGCTCTTGGATAGTGGCAAATGATAGGTATAAAAGCTCTGGTCCCATCTGCTCCTTCCCTTTTTCTCATCACATTCTCATTTTTGAATTACCAAAAACTTCTGAGCGTATCCCGATGGCTGTCTCTCCTCCGCTCCTCGGTCCCAGCATCTGGAGAGGCGTGACGCATGATCTCCTCGTTAGTTCAAAGTGCGCGGTTCCACGCTCATGTGCGTGGAATAGCATCACAAAAATAAGAGGAGCTGACTGGATGTTGATGTCTCTGTCGACTCCAAACAAGTACTCAACAACACCTTGAACCAGAACAGCACCAAATGATGTTCATGGTTTGTTTCAATCTTCTGAAACTGACATAGTGGTCTGTGATGACCTGTGTGCGCTGGCGTTGCAATAACAAGGCTTGCAGCAAGCTCGCATGGCCCACGAAAAACTTCAAGCACTCACGTCATGATTCTGAGGCGCTGGCTAGGTATATAAACCGACTCTTCTGGACCTTTCTTCTACAGCATCAACATCCTGGACCGGTTCCGAAAAAGGCATTGACAAATCTCTCATGTCCTAAGCGTCTTCTTCTTCTCTCAAACTTGATACGCGGGGAGTCTATGGCTGGAGAGAGAGAGGACTAAAATCGTATGCATCAGTTGCTATGGGCACTCCAGATCTACACTTCCAAACGCTCTTAATTCCTACCAGAACAGCGAAATGTCATGGCTATGAATACATGGACGAGAGATTGTGTCATTACGTTGCCGAGAGCGACAAAAAATGGGGCTTGGTTACATTGATGATCTTCTTTGCTGCACCCGACTACAGGAAGTGTGTGTATAGAAACACCTTTTACACCTCACCGTTCTTCTCTCCTATACCTCACGGGCTTTTGCTTGTTTTCTAAAACGATATAGCAGCATCGTGATGTCTGCGTCTCCTCCTCTCTTTCAAAATCATGTGGAAGTCGTGGCATGTCTCTGGCCTGTTCTTCGAAGACCGCGTACCGCCGAATGATATCTTCATTCGCTGGAACAACAAGTTACATCGAGTGGCTTCCATAAAAGCGCGTCCAAAATCCCAGTTCGAAGGCAAGATTCTCCCTACTGCACTCCAAAATTTACACACTTTCTCCAAATCAAGATTTCACACAACGATGTCTGCTTCTCCGCCCTTTCTCTAAAAGCCTTCAACGCTCGCTTATGCTTGTGGAGATGTCGCCGCTAGTCTACCACTTTTTGAAAGCATAAAAGGTTCATTATTCACGAGATACGATCTTGTATCTTACACCCTCGGTGCACGAATTCCTTTCCAAAATATCATCCAACTCATGTCATGTCTGCGTTTTCCGCTCCTTCTTCAAAGAATTGTTCAGATGGGCATGTACCTGGCCCTTTTACCAAAAGCAGCACCCTCAGAATGTATGACCAGAGTTACCACTGGTTCAACTTGATGCGCCTGTTTGCCTTTTACCTTGCTACGTATAAAAATTACGCGAAGATAACGCGATGTGGAGAAAATTGAACTCACTAAGGTTGCGCGGAAGGAAAAAGTAGGACACAAATGCATACGCGACATCCTCGATAGTTGTCCTTCTCTAATAAGTAGATGAACGCATAAAATGACTTTTCTGCACGCCTCATCAACACTCTTTGTCATACAACCATAAATTTGACTAGGACATTAAAAAACAAGATTCCAGGGTCTGATAAGAACTAGAGAGAATCGAATGCCCACAAAAGGCTCGCGATGTCTACTTTGCTCTCTTCTTCCTTACTGTTCCTTTAAAACAGTATCATTGTTCAAACACCAGAAAACCTTTCAATATCGACGCATGAGAGGTAGAAGATCAGAAAGTATGCGCCAGGCCTATTATGTCCGCTCTGCGTCGAGCCCAACTACAACTTTCATCCTCTCCAGCATATGCTTTCTTTCAATCTGCTTTCACACATCCTACACCCAATATATCTAACAGAAGATTCTACACTACACTCTCATGAAATGCAGACGACCAAAAGACTCACTTCTACTACTACCTGTCGCGCTAGGCTATAAAACACAACATTTCATCTGCCTATGCTCTTCTCTTCTTCTCTCATACATTCACCTCTAAACTCAATACAAAAAAATCCGAAGACCTCATTGCAATGAGACGTGGAAAGCTTGAAAAACCATGTTCTTCATTTGCCATGTCCGAGTTCCTCGAAACGGGCTGCGAAGCATATAAATACACCCTCCTCTGCTTCTACTCCATTCTTCATCAACAACACTCCCTTTCCAAACACCAAAAGGCTTGTATGAAGACGCCATGAGAAGACCGAGTCCAAAATGCTAACTCGAACGCTTGATGTCCTTGCTCCCCGCCCAAAGCAGAATACATATAAAAGGCCTTCTTCCCTGCTTCTTCTTCTTCTTCTCCACCTATCTTTTTTGATAACTCTTCTCAAAAAAGCATCGAGTTGTTGCTATGTTCTGAGTTCGTTCGGACCAGAAAACTAGTACAGGGCCTCCCATGTTCCGACTTTTGCGCGCCTGGACGCAAAAGGTTGCACCCCGCGACATGTGTTGCGCTCTTCTCGTCTGCAAGTCGGTCATGTATATGTCTGGGGCATTAAAATAGTACATGTTGCAGACTGTCCAAAACGATCGGCCGGTCGACATATGTTCGCGTGCGCGTCGCGGACACACACATTCAAATCCAGACATGCCCGTTAGCGCAGCCGTGGGCATAGTAGCGGCGGAAAGAGCATCACTACAAGATATATAAAAGACCAGTTTCCTCCACTACCACACACTCGTCTTCTACACATTTTCTACTTCCTTCCAAAAACCAAAACTTGGAGCATTTCGGCACATGAGAAGCAGACCATCAAAGTCGAACTACAAGCTGTTACATGTCTGACTTGCTTCAACTTCTAAAAAACTCTACCCTACAACAGAATGATCTTTCTCGCTTCTCGCTGCTTTTCTACTACCAAACTTTGAAAGATCGTCCAACTGACCATGGAGGAAGGCCATGAGAAGAGATTCCCCCCGAAATAACATATCCTGCTCGTCATGAGCAACTCGCTCCGACTTGGCCTACCAAAGATCATATGCCTGCAAAGAATGTTCTTCCGACTGCTCAAAAGAGTGAGCACCCCCTTTATGACAGTAGAGGCATAGGCCAATCGTTCATGAGAGGCGGGAGACCAGAAAGCTATCGTCGCTCAACACATGGCTGTGCCGCTCGCTCGGGGCTAGGAGGGGTATAAAAGCCTTCTTTCTGCAGTGCTTCTTCCTTTCCTTAACTCTCTGGCTATGACTTTATTATCGAAAAAAGAAGAACCAGGGTGTATGAGAGCAGAAACAGGGAAATTAAAAACAGGATCCGTGGGAAACCATGTTCTGAGCTTTTCTTGAGAGAGGTTTCCAACGCCAGCTAGCAGGGCCAAGTGCATCAAACGAATGGCATGTCCAAAGACGCTGACAGTGTCCATGATGAGGACCATCTCCCCTGTTGAGTGGACGGATGTCAATCATGTGTTCGTTCATATTATGCATTACTTCGTGTCATCTCTACCTCTCGCCACTCAACCAGGCCGTCTAACTTTCTTCAACTTATTCCTCCATCCTCTATCCTTCCCGCTCTTCCCTTCTCTTGTATCTTTCGATGTGTCCGCAGCCTCGGCTTCTTTCTCTCTCGGATACCCGTCGTCTGGAGTACCCGGCCCATCATCTTGACTCCGTCCCCCGTCACCAGGATTTCGTTCCCACAACCCCTTCCCAACAAGCGTCGCCTCCCGACTTAGCGGCTTGCGACTCAGCCTCGCCTCCTCCACACCTCTCAGGTATCTTTTCCGCAATTCTTCGTCGCTCAGGACGTGGATAGAAAGATCTGTATCCGACCTAGCCAGCGGTCTAATCTCCATATCATCGTGTTCAGTCGGAGAAGCCATCCACGCTTTCTCCTTGCCAGCCACTGCGAAAGAAGGAGTTGGCGTTGATAACAAGGGTGTCGGTGACATGGGCGACTTGCCGCCACCATCACCATCTGTATCCGTATCTTCAAGGTCCTGCAAGAACAGCCCATGATCCACGACCGTCCCTCTCGTCCCTTTCTTCCCGTACAACTGCCTCCCCAACGCCCTATTCTTCGCACTGATAAGATCCTTCCCACTCAACCCCGTACGCCTCCTCGCCGCCACCGCCATTGCAAACGCCGCGCGCAACGGCGTAAGTCTGTAGCCCTCCTTGACAAGCGTGGAATTAAACTGTGCGTCCTGCCACAGCACGTACATACTAAGCACCCAGGCACTCGTTACAAACATGAACAACCCAGCCATGAGCGTCGAGAAACCCCATTGGTAGGTCGGATTGGCAGTGTCGGGGAGGCAGCGGCTTCTCCCTATGAGCGAGTAGTACTGATACCCAATTCCATTGTAGCAGTACCCGTAGTCTCCGACTAGGTCGTCGGCGTTGTACGTTTTGCCACCCACAGGGACGGAGACGCTGGTGTTGCAGAGATGAGTGATGGAGTCTTGGTTGTAGACCTTTTGTTCCGTCCAGGTTTGCGTGTTGTTGGGGAAGTCGAAGGTGCAATTGAACAAAAGATCGTCGTATTGATTAAACGAGGTGTGTTGCCAAAGGTCTCTTTGTTCGGCGGCGGTTACAGTGGTGCCGTTAGCGAATTTGCAGTCACCTATTTTCGTTGGTATTAGTATGTCGAAAGATTCTCGGAGCAGCGGTTGGATGATGGGTGTAGGTATGTGGGGGGCAAGGTGGAGGACGACGTACAACTTTGCCGTCTCTTATCCGTAATGTAGCCATAATCACTCTGCAATTCGTAGTCCGCACAGCCTGGTTGCTTCCACGTCTCGTTCTTGGTGCCCAGGATAACCCACGCACTTGATAATTGGGAAGCGGGAATGATGTTGTTCGACCCGTCGATGTCGAGCCACGCGATAGAAGTGCTGTCGTAACCTGTCATGGCGCCGAGAACAATGGGTACAAGAAGCACGTAACCCGTCGACCAAAACATGTAGAAGAACAAAAATCGCGTCCGTATACTCCTCGCAGTCCATAGCTCTTTCGTCAACGCCCATAGACAGTGCAACCCGGGCCCTTCCATAGCCATCCTCTGGAAAATGCTGAAGCTCGCCGGATGTCGTTCGATCGCGCGTAGTAACGCGTCGCAGAAGACATTGTACGTGGCCCACCACGCCAATGCCTGTGCGCCTTTCCCGATGAGCAAGTCCCAGAGAATGTCTATCGTCTTGGCCTGTGAAAAGGTGAATTGGCCCCACGTAGCGTCCAGCGTAAAGAGTTTCTCTATTCCCGTCACCGTTGCATTCTGAGGGTCTCCGCCGATGGTGTTTCCGCATGACAAAGTCTTGTCTGCGAAAATGTATCTTATCGGTGTCACCGTGCCCGCTGCAAATATGGGCAGGATGACCCAGCTGAGTAAGAGGAGAAAGGCGTAGAACTGCTTCTTCGACCACCGGAAGTGTTTCCATAGCGGTGCATTCTTGATCGTCCGCGCGGTCCATTTAGTCGCGTGCCAGATACTCAGACAGGCGTCGTGCAACATCCAGGTCCAGCGTACCTTCCATCGCGGTTCCGACAGCCAACCTCTCGGTGTGCATGTTGCCTCCTGCACGCTGTCATTACCCCAGGTTTTGACGCGTTCATGCTGTATTGCAGGCTTTCCTTCCGAGAACGATTCTTGCGTTGAGTTGACAGATGTACACGCAACTTTGATATCCTCCTCTTTCGCGGTCAAAGCCTTCTTATCATTGTATCTCAACTCCGCCATCTCGTATCAATGCCAGCAAAGGCGACGCGAGATCGCGGTTAGTGCATTCGTATGCGCAACTCGGTGTCGAAGAAGCGAGGACGGTGGTGGCGGAGGGGGCCAGGGAGGTAGTTAGGCAGCCCACACGTACGCAGTTCGCATTCGTCTCGAGGAAATGGAGAACCGTCGAACAAAAGATATTCGGCGAGACCTACGCGTCGCGGGATGCCTGAGCGCAATTACCCCGGGCTAGACCCGTTCCTTCGTCGGTTCGTTGCTTCGCTGCATGGATGCCTGTGCTATGGCTGCAGGTGTCGTCCCGGAGAGTTAACACCTGCGCACGAGCACGGAAAGAACTCCTACTCTTCCCCATCATCCTGCAAGACATCCTCCCGCAGCAAGCCACAGTGGTCTGTAACAGCAGTGGAGCTCTCCGTTCATTCGATAGCGTGTGGTTGCGCGCCAAAATTGTGTGCTGTCGTGCAACGAACTCGAGGAGCGCACGACGGTCGTAGGAAGAATTGGGTTCCCCAGCACGATGTGAGGCTGTGTACTTCTTCACTAGTCCCAGAACAGCTAGCTTCAGGGACATCTCCTCGGCTAGTCAGGAAATGCCCTGCACTTTTCAAGGCAGACACGAAGTGAGATGGAGCCCAGCTGCATTTAGCGGACCGGCGTAACATGGTAAAAGCTTAAAGATCGACAAACATAAAAATGCTATGAGGACCTAGACTCTGCCCACGATGTCACCTTCACTAACGCTATCCATGCTCAATCAAGGAAATTCTCGATGCATCAACGACATCAACGATGGATCGAGGACATCAACGTCACCAACGCTATCAACTATCAACCAACGACATAGTGCTCGTTCCTTCTCCATCGCGTAGCTTCCGCTTCCGTCCGACGAACCACTGACGATGAGCAACCAACAACGTACAGCTCCCGCAATCGATACCAACAACAGGACTGTGGTGTTTGATCTCGAGGCATATGATAGCTTCGACGATGATGAATGGAAAACTCCTCACGACATCACCATCCTCACTTCACATCCTCAACTCAACAAATCCATTCCCTCAAATATCAGTATGAATAATCTCGAGCACCAGGCCCATCCCCTCAAGGAGAAAACAATAGAAGAACCCTTTATGTATACATCCAAACGCCCATTGAAACACGCAGATCCCCCACAAGTACACTCGTCCATCTCTCTCCCATCACACTCACACTGCAAATATCACACTCAACTCCCCACAGGCGTCCCACTGCGACTAAGCACACTAGCCGAACTATTAGTCCGTAGTACTGGCGTCGCACTCCTACTCCTCTCCCTCTCGCGATCCCGCTCTTCGGTTTTGACCCGCTCCCTCGCTTCCTCGACAAGACGCTTAGCCTCGCGTACATTGCGCATGGTCCTACTAAGTTTGCCCTCTTTGCCATCTTGGATCTTCTGCAGTTCACCTCTCGCTTCGATATCTTCTTTAGTCTTAGTAACGAAAGACTTGAGACTGACTTTGATATTCTGACGCAAGTCCTGGCCTTCGTCGAAAATGGCGTCGCTGTCGCGGATGGATTTGACGTTTTCAACGCGGCGCGTCAGGTATAAGGTAGGGCGGCGGGCGGCGGCAGAGGCAGCAGCAGCGAACTGTTCGCGGCGTTGGGCGATGATTCGTTGGACTTCTTCTTCGTAGGCGGTCTCGTAGACGTTGATGTCGACGTTGGAGGGGGATTCGGAGACGATGCATCCGTCTTCGGGTTCGGGAAGGAAGTCTTCGCCTGTGCCGATGTTGAGGAAGAGTGTGTCTTCTAAGGGGTTGTGCGCGTGGCCTTTGCCGAGGGGTGTGGTTGGCGCTGATGATGAGGGGGCGAGGCCACCGGGAGTTGAGATGGAATGTATGGGCGCTGGCCGGATTGACATGTTCTCGTGGATGATCTTGGCTTCACTGAGACCTGGAGCCGTCGGCGTCGTTGGACTGCCAGAAGTAGATCCCTTACTGGCTGAACGCTTCCCTGCTACCTCAGGTCGGAGACCAGGTTTGGTGTATGCCATGTCGTCCATGTTATGGGGAAGTCTCTGGCCCTTTTCGTCGATTTTGATCTGATGGTGTACACCCTCGGAGGAGAGTGCGCTCTCAACTGGTCGGCGGTCATGTGTGTCTTGTGATTTTGATTTGCGTAGTGCCGATGGTCGCATGGACATGGGCGGCTGAACGATTCGCGAGGCACTACCCAGTATACTCTCTATGCGGTCTGGTCGCCGTCTGAATAGTAGCTGCTTGAAGCGCTTCACTGCGCGTACCTATGCAGTCGTTAGCTCAAGAATGGCTACGATACTTTGATACCAATGCTTTCGCATGCGATAGGGAAGACGTGCACCTACCACTGTTACCAAGTGACCCATGTTGCCAGTGATGGCAGCATTGACTTCCTCATCGGTAGGCGGATCGATGATGATGGCGACGTTCTCCGACTTTGCTAATAAAGGGTCCGTCCCTTGTCGCGTGACCCATGGGTGTTCCTGGAAAGTCAGTCTTGCGCAATGAAGTTGGGCAGTCAACTCACTCTGATCTCTTCCATGGTTATCCTCTTTTTGGGATCCTTGTCCATGAGCCTGACCAGAAGATCCTTCAGCTCGGGATTGCATTCGGTCTCAAATTCCAATGGGTCCATCCGTATTGATTGGTAAAGCTCGATCATACCGTGCTTCTCGAATGGTATACGGCCAAAAAGCAGGCAGTATAGTGTGCAGCCCATGGACCATATGTCGGCAGCTCTTCCAGAAACATGACCATGTTTCGCAACGCACAGCTCCGGCGGCATGAAAGCTGGCGAGCCCGCTGACTTGGCCGTCTTCATCTCGCCTTCCTTGTCGAACATTTCCGAGACGCCAAAATCGACAATCTTCAGCACATCCTCTTCGGTGATTAGGCAGTTGTCGGGCTTGATGTCTCGATGGATAATACCCTGGGCGTGAACTGGCACGTGTTAGCATTGTCTCGTGAATGACCTAGCCTCACGTACGGTACTCGAGACCCAGTATCATGTCTCTGAACCAACACCGACACTGCTCTTCGCTGTAGGGGTCGGCGCGCTCCTCGAGACCAACTTGCATGACGACGCCTTTCTTGCACATCTCCATGACCATGTACAGCGAGTCCTCCTCTGGGTCGTCCAGCACCTCGATCAACGTGACCAGGTTCGGGTGGTGTAGCTTCTTCATGATGGCGATTTCTTCCTTGATCAGCTCGAAAGCATTGTTCTCTTCTGTCACCGAATGCCGGTGCAGCGGTGAATTGAAGCCTATGCCAGCAGGGAGGGCGCGCATTCGTTTCGCAGCGGTCGGTCGGCGCAGGAGATTGGACTGAGCGCGTTTCCGCAGTCGGGATTTGGAGAATTCCTTAACAGCCTGCGCGTTGATGCGTCAGCGAGAGCCAATGCCTGTACCTCGAGGGAACCCGCATCGTCTTATTGGGGGCATGCGCCCGGGTGGTGCCTTCTCTTTCCGGTGGAGATGTCGAGAGAGCTGGTATCCTCACATATTCTTGGCCATACTGGTCGACAGCGAGATGGACGGCGCCAAAGGAGCCGCGGCCAATCTCCTGCTTGACTAGGTACTGGTTGATGCGGTGTTGGGCGCTGCCGTCATCTTCGCTGTTGCTGTACTCGGAGCGCGCATTGAATGTTTCCTGTGCTGTCAGAGGTGGCTCAGGGTCGCAGCTTCTGCATTCAGTGGGTCGCACCTTCACACGTCTCGTCGAGGAAGCGGCGCGCTTGTGGTGTCGTAACGGGCTCTGGTATGCGGGTGTTGACCTTGTCTAGCATCAGCTCCGGCCAGGACCAGCACCTCCGCGGGGTAGCCATGGCATATCCCCGGGCAACACGCACATAAACTTGACGGGGGGCGGTCGTCCGGCCTCGCTGACAGCTGGAACTTCTAGGGAGGGTTGCGATGTGTAGATGCGCAGGTCGGACTCGGATGGGCGCTTGGGGGGAGGTGTGGACGAGGGCGTGGGCGGGTGTGACATAACTACCTCGCAGTCGAGGGCACGGCAGATGCTAAGTACGTAGTTGATAAGATGGACACGGGCCTAGGAGACGGCTAGGGAGAAATAATATGGGGAAGTTCGGGGCGCTGGACTACGACGTTCCGACAGCCCAGGATGTCTTTTGCTACGGGGCCCGACTAGGAGGGGAGCGATGCAGCAGAGAGGGGGCCTTTCCTGACATTTCTTTCAGCCTCACCCGTTGACGGGCAATCACATCACCCCCATCCACCCACCGCACTTGGCGCACGACGTCCCCACCGTCTAGGCTCTCTGTTACCCACTTGGCTAGTGAATTGCGTATACACAGCTACAGAAGCTCCTCACAATCCACGCTCCTACCTTGGCGCCATATCGCGACGCTCAATTGGCACGGTCACCACACCCGCTTCCCTATCTCCAACACCACAAGCATAGCACCACGCATACCAATAACCTCGCCCCATTGTCGCATCCCTGACGACGTCATACTCCCGCAATGGTCCTCTACAGCTTCTACATCTTCGATCGGCACAGTAAGTCGTCATGTGAAGTTGCGATCACCGCTTTGTACACGCGCTGACCGCACGTGCAGCCGAGTGCATCTACTCGCGCCGCTGGACGCCCGCCCGCCCAACCTCATCCTCGTCCAAAGCTGCCGCCCGCCCGCCCTCTGGCGCCTCCATCGCAAGCAATGGCGACGTGGTGGCTGCCGTCCGCAAAGGCATGTCGCATTCCGACGACGAGAAGCTCGTCTTTGGCCTCGTCTTCTCCCTCCGCAACCTCGTCACCAAGCTGGGTGGCGCCGACGACACGTTTCTCTCCTATCGCACCGGCGAGTACAAGCTACATTACTACGAGACGCCCACGCGCATGAAGTTTGTCATGCTCACCGATACAAAGGTTATCAACCTAAGACAGTATTTGCACCAGATCTGGGCAAATCTGTATGTGGAATACGTGGTCAAGAACCCGCTTGCGCCCACGGAGCACCCG